ATCAAAATTGGGGATTAGCTGAGGGTTGAGGTTGTCCACGCTCTCCTTTGCTCCTAATTACCACAGGTCACTGAGGGCACAGAGGCAGGGGCTGGCCGTAGCAGACGGGGCTGTCCTCCACGCTCCTCCTGTCTTGGCTGGACACCTGAGAACCCGGGCCCTGGGCCTGCACACAGGGTTTGTGTTGTCTGGCTCAGCCCGGTCTCCCTCTCCCCGGTCCCCCTCCCTGCCCACTCCCACCCGGACTTAGCCCTGCTTTGCTCGGCTGCCGTGTGATTGTTGGGATAGAGGGCTGTGTGCTTTCCGGTGGCAAGGGCTGGACCACGTTCTCATTCCTTCCACAGGCTACTTTTCTGTTGTGTTTCTTCTCTCGGGCAGTCAGAGATTGGTGAGTGAGATTTAAACCATCCACTGCCAGGTGGGGAGTGAACCGGCTCTCACTGGTTCTGGGAACAGGATTAGAGGGGCTGGGTGTGCATGGGTGTGTAAGAATGTGTGGCTAGGTATTCCCGTGTCGCCCTGGGCAGCCCTGATATTTCCCTGTCCCCCTGCTGTGTATGTCTTCCAAGTATTTACAGATGGTCCCGGGCCATTCTCATAGTTATCAGGCCAGACCTTCTAATCTTGTCATCTTCCCCTGAACTTCCCTGAGCAGAGGCTGAATGTTTTAGAACAGTGAGTATCCACTTCTGAGGAGCTTCCTCTCTGAACCAGTGGTCATGAAGAGGCCCTTGAAATAGATCCCCTGGCTTGCATTCTGGAAGGTGCCTTCTTGGTATCTGGAAAATCTGATAGTTGTGAATTTTAAGATTCATTTGGGAGGTGACTGAGAAGGGCAGAGGGTGACAGTGGCCCTAAGGATGGGGCTGGCTTCTGGGTCCTCAGATACAGAATAAGCTTATGCCCCCTGGTATGTACCGATTAGTATTCGCATGAGGTCTGGAGAAGCACTGAAGGAATAATTGGTCGATTGATTGATTGATTGGCTGAAGGGTCTGAGAGGGCTGCAGAAATACTTACGGGGTAAATTGATAAAGAGTTGAGCAAGTCTAAGTGTCTCGGTTATCTATTGCTGCGTAACAGACCACCCAGAAATATAGTGGCTCACAACAAGAATAATTTATTCTTTCTAATGTGTCTGTGGATTGGCTGGGTGGTTCCTTGACTGATTCTACCTGCACTGACTCCTGGACTTGTCCAGCTGGAGGGTCAGCTGGGCTGGGGTGTCCAAGATGACTTCACGCACACGCCCGGAAGTTGGTGCTGGCAGTGGGCTGAGCCGCTCTGGTTTTCTTCCATGTGGCCTTTCATCCTCCTGGAGGCTGGACTGACTTTCTTATGTGGTGGTCTCAGGGTGGATTCCAAGAAAGGGAAAGTGGAAGCTATAAGGCCTCTTCAGGCCGAGGTCTGGAAACCACACACTGTCACCCCCGTCCTTTCCATTGGTCAAAGCAAATCAGAGTCAGCAGGGAGGGGTTTACCCTGAATACAGGGAGGTGCAATTCACTGGTACCATTTTGTAACGGTCTACCACACCAAGTAAAAGAAAAACATAGGTTAGATTAAAAATCAGGTTAGCACATGGCAGTGAGAGCTGATATTAAAGAGAGGTAAAGACCATGGCCTGGGAGCAGACTGCCTGGGCTGGAATCCAGGCTCTGCCACTTCCTAGTTGTTGACCTTGAGGAAATCACACAGCCAGTCTGCTCAGTGAGGATAATAATAACACTTTTCTTAGAGGCCTGTGATGAGTTTGAAGTGAGCTAGTGGAAGTGCCCAGTACAGAGCTGGGCACACCATAAATGCTCAGGTAGCTGTTAGCCATTATTATTCATGTGACTGTCTGTAAATGGTGGGTGAGTTACAAACCTGGCCTTAGGTGTTCCAGTTCCGAGGCAAAGAGGGAAAAATACGAGGGTACAAGGTTTGGCGTGTGCTTAGGCTGAGAAAGTCGTTGGTTCAGAAGAAGCAGTGCTGTTTCACATGGATAAGTACATGTTTTTACACATCTGCTTTCAAATGCAGCAGATCTGGGGCGTCTGCAAAGCGACTGGCCTGGCGGATCTTCACGCCATAAAAATAAATGTATTTTTCCCCAAAAGCAAATAATTAGAGACAGTAACCTCTGTCTAGAGTTCAGCAAGACAGGCTTGACCGTCAGAAGCCCTTGACTGGGGCCCCAGCCCTCCTGTCTCCGGGGTGAGTGAACTTGGGAAAATTCATGAATCCCTCCACGACTCAGCTTCCTTGTCTACAAAATGGGCATAATAACGGTGCCTACTTCACACGGACAAAGAGATTCGGCAAGTAAAGCCCCTAGTCTGTCGCCTGCCTGGCTCCTGCTCCTCCATGAATATTTGCTTTAACTATTAGTAGTATAAAGAGGCTCTTAGGGGAGATTTTTGTCTCTGTCGGAAGACAAACTCTCTGTGTTTTCTTCACAAACAGTTGGTGCTATGATTATAAACCTTTCCTGTCTCTTTCTTAGAGGAGCACTTGAACTTGCAGGGATCGTCATAAAGTAATAAGCAAGCAGATAAAGACAAGAAACCCTGCATTTCACCTTCTCTCGAATTCCACGCTAACCCCCAGTTTTTCCAAATTATCGAGCGTCACCGTTTGTATTGTTTGTAGTATCCTCCGTGGAACTCCGTGCAACCTCTATGGAAGCGGGCTACAAACCTTTCAGAACAGCCTTCAAGGACTTCCAGAAATCTGTCGACAGTCCCCAAACCACAGGTTCCCACCTCTCCTCGGCTGGCTGGTCTCCACATGCCCGGAGTTTCAGGATCCCCAATGCTGTGAAGTCAGGTCCATCCTTTGCTCTGTCCCTGGGGAAGCTTTCTCCACCTCTGTTCGCATCTCGCTTTCTAGCTGATTTATGGCTTTAGAATGTTGGCCTGGAAGATCTTAATTTAAAGCCTCTGTCAGACGTTGTTACACGGACGCGGTGCCGGTAAAAAGCTGTTTTCCTTTGGTTTTTCTCCTCTGTCACTTTTTCTGTGGCATGAACTATGAGGTAGGAAAAGAAAGTTACCAACTTGGGGTTGGGAGAGCTATTGAAAAACTCTTGCGTAATCCCCTGGAAGGTGCCAGGCTCCATTCCAGCCAGGGGCCAAACTCAAAATTCTGGGTCTTCAGGCCAGGTCTCCCCATGGCCCCCCTCTTCCAATCAGTTTATGTCTCTTTCCTAAGCTGCCTCTTAGGGGCAGTTCTGGTGGTAGTTATAATTGGGCTCAGACTCTCGAGTCTAGTGCCTGTCAACTGTTTTAAACTGCTGTTCCTCTAGCTAAGGAGATTCTGTTTAGTTTCACTGTGTTTGCGTTATGAAAACAATAGTTCTTTTCTTTTTGCATTTTCCAGATCAGTATTATATTTTAATAGCAAATGTACTATTCATACCTGTCCCCTGACTCTCAGATATTTTTATGCGCTTAAGGGAATAGTCCCTCACCCTGCAATGAGAATTTTTTCAGCATTTTTCCTCAGAGTGAGACAAAAATCATTTCCCATCATCTGACTTCCCTCTAAGACAGCATGGAGCTGCCATGCGTCTCTGTGTGCACCTACAGTCTGCTTCAACATCTGTCCGGTTCATATGTGTATCATTACCAGAGTCATTATTTCAAAGGGTTTGGCTCCTTCAGAGTTGAGCTTCTGTATTTTCATCATTTGTGCTGTTGTTCAGTGAGGAGGATGAATCTCCACATTGCTGATACCAAATTCCTGGCTCTCGGAATGGTATTTTTGTAAAACACTGTGAAAATATCATGGGATACCCAAGACGATTCCTGTCATCTTCTTCAAGGGGAAAGTTGCGGAATATTGTTCATGAAAGAAATAAAGTGGTAATAAAGTAAATAAATAAAGAGATAAATAAGTAGATCAAAAAAGTGATAGTACAGGTATATGATGTGGTCCCTTTTATTGTTAAAAAACCCCCAGTGGGCTTCCCTGGTGGCGCAGTGGTTGAGAGTCCGCCTGCCGATGCAGGGGATGCGGGTTCGTGCCCCGGTCTGGGAAGATCCCACGTGCCATGGAGCGGCTGGGCCCGTGAGCCACGGCCGCTGAGCCTGCGCGTCCAGAGCCTGTGCTCCGCAACAGGAGAGGCCGCAACAGTGAGAGGCCCGCGTGCCGAAAAAAAAAAAAAACAAAAACAAAAAACAGTAGATGTGTGCATATGTATTTATGTATGTGTACATGGAAAAGAAGAGGTCCAGGGCAAGTAGTGTTTAACTTTGGTGGGATTACGGTTTTTTCAAATTTTTCTTTATAACAAGAAAAGGAACCTAATGCTATTTATTTATTTATTTATTTTAATGCTATTTATTTTTAATAGCTAAAAAGAAAAAAGAAAAAAAATCCCCACAGAATCAACAAAAAAACAAGAAAGGGAAGTCAGGCAGGTTGACTGGTCAGGAGTCGTGTGGGTCTGAGGCCCCCAGGCCTGGCACAGGACACCGTGCACTGCCTCAGCCTGGGCCTGACTCTGGAGAAACCAGGTTTGGCTGTTCAGAGACGTTGACATAGTTCGTGAGGCCGCTGAGTACAGACACCTTCCCGCGGGCCTGTTTCTCTCTCGCACTGGATGGAAGCAGTGTTGTGTAATCAGCTCAGCTCCGTTCAGCCCTGTTGGAGGCCTGGAAGGGAGTGGGTTTGGGCCTTGTTTCTGCTCCCCTTGGGTGCCGAGCACCAGAGCATCTCCCTGCCCTGAGGACAGTGGCCTGGCCCTGTCCTGCTGCGTCTGGGCTTGGGAGAGTGTCCACACACACGGGCGTTCCTGCATCAGCTGTCAGCTAGCAGGGCAGCCAGCTCCTGCCCCCGCCTCTAGGGGGCCGCAGGGAGGTTCTGGGCCTCCAGCCCCTCACTAAGGGCTGATGTGGGAGACACAGCTCCCCTTGGTGATTCACCAGCCAGGATCAGTTCCCTAGGGCCAGGCCAGGTCCTGGCAGGGAAGGCACAGGAGTGGGAATCACCACAGGCTGTGTCTTCTCTTGCAGAGAAAGTTCACTCTTGTGACCAGGAGAGACAGAGCGCCCTGGAAGAGGCCCGGCAGAATCCCCGCGAGGGCATTGTCATCCCCGAGTGTGCCCCCGGGGGGCTCTATAAGCCAGTGCAGTGCCACCAATCCACTGGCTACTGCTGGTGTGTGCTGGTGGACACGGGGCGTCCGCTGCCCGGGACCTCCACACGGTAAGTCCCCCAGAGCCCGTCCTGCCCCTCACCCATCAGGTGAAGCCTGGGGTAGGAGAGCCAGCTTCCTGTTACGCTGTCACCTCACATCTCCTGGCTTTATTGTCCTGGCCTGGTGGGAGTCGAGGCACTAGGGGAGCAGCATCTCTGCTCGTGGGCAGATGAGGTCCCAGTATCCTGGATTCTGGTCACAGGTCTGGCCTTTCCTAGCTGGGCAACCTTGGGAAAGTAGGCAACCTCTCTGAACCTCAGTTCACCAGTGAGAAGGTGATTGCCCTGCCTGAGTCACTAGGTTCTATGGATCAAAAAGATCCTGCGTGCAGACATAAGGTAACAGCGCTCTACTAGACTGACTAAGATGACATGCCTGAACATGTCTCTGTGGGAACACCGACGCTGGGATTGCCTTGTAGCTGCTGGACAGTCCAGGAGATATTCTGCTGCCAGCTCTGGGAGATCTAGGCTTCGAGACCACACAGATCATTGCTGGGAGTAGGAGCTGAAATCAGCTCAGTTTCCAGCCCCTCCTCACCCCCTGCATCTCTCTCTTCTCAGCTACGTGATGCCCAGTTGTGAGAGCGACGCCAGGGCCAAGAGTGCGGAGGTGGACGACCCCTTCAAGGACAGGGAACTGCCAGGTGGGAGACGACACTACCCCTTGCTGGTGCCTTCACCTCCTCCTGTTCCTCCAGCCCCTCATCATGCAGAAGCAGCGCCCTCCTCTGGGTCTGCTTCCCCATCTGTAAGGTGGAGCGGGGACACTGGGCAGGGGCGTCGCAGGAGCCATGGGATCTGCATCCAGTCTGGGATGTGTTCCTAATTAGTCCTGTGCTCTTGAGCACACTGTTTCTCCTCCTTGCTTTTACCTTTTTATCTTTAAAATGTAGTCACTGGGTTAAAATCCTACCCTTAAAAGCTCTACAGTTCTTTCTCTAAGGGTGACTGGGAAAATGATCTGGGGGCTGTGGACCCTTTTCCCCAGGGCTGCAAAGAGAAGATAGCTCACAGGGAAAGGCTGTCCTGAGGGGCAATGATTCCTGGTGGCCCAGAACTGTCACTGGGGTATGACACAAGGCTCACAGGCAGGGACCCAGGACCTCTAAATGGCTGCTGGGCTGGGTTTCTCTGCCAGTGAGTTACAATAAGAGTACTAAATACTGATGGCCCAGAACACTGTAGTCTTAATCAGCACAGATGCAGGTCAGTGCTGGTGGGAGCTGGGCCCATCAGGACTCCAAAGGAGGACTGAAAACAGAGGCTCCTGAAAGTCTAGGGGTTCCCAAGTGAGGTTTGTAGGTCACTCTGTCATGAGAATGGAGTCGTAGAGACCAGGGTCCCTCCTTCTAGCCATCTCTTCAACAAATGTCCACTGAGATTCCCCTATGTGCCAGGCGCTGGGTTTGTCTAATGATCAAAACCGAAGTGAAGCTTGTCTAGTGGGGGAGACAGTATACAAATAAATGAATCCAAACACAGATAAAAGGTGGTGACAGGTACTCTGAAGGGAAAGAGTGAGGTGCTGGGAGAAGGACAGGAAGAATCTGTGGTTTCTCTGAGAAGGTAGCATTTAACCGGAGACCTAGGGGATTTGCAGAGAGCAGAGAATGAAATAGTTGCTGCAGAGAGGAGGATCGTAGGCAGTGTTGAGGGCCCATTTGGGGCTGGTAGTCATGAATTTGCAGGAAAACCGTCTCTCCAGTTGCGTGGTGGTGTTTGCGCTAGCACTATTCAGCTATGGGGGTGTAGACTTGGAGAAGGCATATCGGTGAGAAGGTTCATCCACGCTTGGGGTTTTGCTGGAATCACACAGTGCGGAATAGAGAAACAAAGGGTTTGAGAGTACTTATAAGGGAGGGTTGATAATTATAATCTAAGCTGGTTGAGGAGAGATGTGAAAAAAGGAGGAGGTTCTTGGATAGGTAAACAGGTAGATCTACTAGAGGCAACTTTGACCTTGGAGTTCTCTGCATTCCTTGTGCCCCTTCAGCACCTGGTCCTTGCTGCTAGAGTCGCTCCGTCCTCCTGTACCAGAACTAGCTTGAGTTCCCCAGTAGACTGTGAACTTTACGAGGGGAAGAACCATGTGTATGATACCCCTAACATTTAGCATAGTGCCTGAGTTGATACTCAGCAAAAGCTTTGAGGAATGGAAGAACATTGAGAGCATTATTATCCGTTTGGTCGACTGGTCCCTTGCGGGCTGTGGGTAGAGGAACTATGGAAGTTTACGAGAATCATCTGAGCTGTGGACAATTCCCAAAGTGGATTTGGCTGGACAAGAAGGACTTGGAGAGGTTGAGGAAACAGTGGTAGTTGAGGAAGCTGTTTACCTGATCATTTACCTGGCATCTGCCTTCAAGTCTCACTTTGTCTTTCAGGCTGTCCAGAAGGGAAGAAAATGGAATTTATCACCAGCCTGCTGGATGCTCTCACCACTGATATGGTGCAGGCCATTAACTCAGCAGCACCCACTGGAGGTGGGAGGTGAGAATGCGAGCGGGACTCAGGCCCAGTGGGACCACGGGGCCCCTGACTTTTCAGATGCTGTGGGTCCCTGGGAGAGTGGGGAGGGGTGGGTAGAACAAGAGCTGGAAGTTGATCCTCTTCCTGAAACCGCGTAGCTGTGACTTTGTCTCACCTTCCACCCCAAATCTCGCCGCCCCTCTCCCCTTTCTAGTCTTTGGGAGTTGCTTTTCTCTAGCTTGTAGTCACCTGATTATAGGCAAGTCCGGGAGTGTCTGGAGACTTCCAGCGCTTCAGTCTCAGAAATGGATGCATTGGAGTGAGTCCAGAATGGCAGGAAGGGGGATGGGCATACGATGGGAACAGGGATGGCAGGGAGGGAGTCCAGAGCATTTGGTGGTTTTCTTCTTTTCTGAGAAGGCAGGAGCCGCGTGCCAGTTTGGCTTCCTGAGAATCCCAAGGGACTCTGGGCAGTGGGATTGGACACTGCCAGAGCCAAGTCCAGCTTAGTTCAGGAGCTGATATGCTGACCGAGGCAGTCCTGACCCAAGGCCAAAAGGTACACGCTCCCCAGCGACCAGCATCGCCGGCGCTCACTAATTTGGACCCATTGGGTCAGTTGATCGGAGCACGCATGCATTCATCTGTCCTCTGCTCAGAACTGTTGAACGTGCATGGCACGCCAAGCACTGGGCTAAGGATTGGGAATCCAAGGATGCGAGGCATGTCCCGGCCTTCAAAGAATGCAGCCTAATGGGGATACTAGGCTGTAGAAAGATACAAACTGTGTGGTAAGTGCTAGAACCGAGGTGAAAGAACAGAGAAGCGTTTGCTAATTTAGTCTGGAGGAGTCAGAGAAGGCTTCCCGGAGGAGGTGATACTGAGTTTTGAAGGATAGGTAGGACTCAGCTAGTAAAAGAAGGGAAACCATTCCAGGAAAAAGGAAAGAACATTGTGACCCCAGGAAAGTGCACGTCCGAAGTTCAGTATGGCTGAGCTGGGGTGGATGGAGGAGGGGGTGGAGGAGATGACAGTGGTGGTAGATGACACAGAGGATGCAGGTCCCAAAGGGCCTGTGAGACGTGCTTCCCATTATGAAGCCAGAGCGGGAGGCAGGGAGAGTTCTGGCTCCTTAGCAATGGGAAGTACCATGTGCTTGGCAGGGATGGGCAGCCTGACTCTCAGCTTACGTGGCTCACCAAGGAGGGAGCGCTAGTCCCTCCGCATCTCCCCAGAGGCAGAGCTGTCAGAGGGCAGGCAAGGAGTGCCACCACGAGACAGGCCCAGGCCCCCAGGCTGGTGGAAGGGCCCCAGCGTGACTGCATCAGCACAACAGCAGGGCGTGTATCTGGGGTGGGCACCAGGACTCCCAACACAGCTGTCAGTGGTTCTGTGTCCCAAGGCAGACAAGGGCAGCGATCCTGAAAACCCACTTTTATGTCACATCACAGTGAGTGCAGTGGCTGCCTGGTGGGTTGCCACTCGAGGAAACTGCTTGTCCAGGGAGCTTGCTCTCAGCAACCCCCATGGTCCTGTGAGCTCTGAGGCTGGTTTCTGGCCCTGCTCTGTTTTGCTCACCCTGTGGAAGGGTCCAGGCCTCCCCTGGGAGGAGCACAGCAATAAGTCTGAAAAGATGGAGACTGGGTCTGACAGGTCGGCAGATGAGAACTGCCCAGAGGCAGCCCATGGTGCTCAGCAACTGGAAGTCTAAAATCGAGAGGGCTGTGTCCGAACCTCCAGGAAGAGGGAGAGGAAATTATGAAAAGGCATATTCAGTATTATATGCCTTGTTGTGATTTATGCTTGGAATGTGAAAACATACCTGTTGTTTCATGCAGAAATGGGTATGAGCTATTTATGGTTTTTAGAAGAGAGGGAAAAAAGAAACGAGAAAGGGGCATGGCCTTAACAATTCCAGGTCTGGGTGCTTTCCACCCACAAATCCACAGGGCTGCTGGCTCTGACCCACTGCTCAGGGAGCCTGCCTGGTGCTTCTACTTGGGTTCTAAGGAGACAGGACTTCACCCTCCATCCCATTTGCTTCTGCGGGAGCGCAGCCCTTGAGCCCGGCCTGGCCTCGGATCCAGGCAGCCTTCAGTGCCAGGGAAAGGACCAAACCCAGCTAGGTCCAGGGCCGGGAGGCCAAAATCACAGGTGGGCCCGCTGCCAGGGCAAGTTCGGATGGACACTTGACCCTCAGATAGCAGGCTGAAGGCATTTTTACAGAAAATAAAAACTAAGAAGTTCGTAAATGCTTTTAATCCCAGTGTGTCATTAGGGAAGGGAGTTTTTGTTGCTGTGGTTTCCAAAAACCTCTTTTAGGTATGATATAATGTTGGGAGAAATTAAAAAAAAAATTCTTTCCTAAACATGTTTTTCATTTCAAGCTCATGTGAGCCTGACCATGTTTGGTTTTGATGAGAATGAAAGGTTTGAACTGCATTTGGTAATTGTGTTACCTGGAGGGTAGACTTGTAATCAAAAGACAGACAAGATGTATCAAGAAATAGTTTAGAAATCAAGGAAGTGGGAGTGGGCCTGCAGAGAGAAGGAGAAAGAATCAGTTATGCAGGGAGGTGGCTGGCCAGGGTTACCGGTTTTACTGAGTTTAAATCCCTCTCAGGTCTCCCTAATATATTTTGAAAAAGCAAAAAGCCCGAACTCTGACCACGAACTGGCCGTGCAGGATGGTCTTGCTGGCGCTCACCCTTCTCTCATATGCTGCTCCCTCCTGTCATTATGTCCCAGCCACTGGTCCTTCTCAGGTCCTCAAACAGGCCAAGCTCTTGCCTGCCCCAGGGCCTCCATGCCAGGTGCTCCTTCAGCCTGGAATGTGAGTCTCCCATCCTCCCGTGACTGGCCCCACTGCTCCATTTAAATATCATCTTCTCAATGACCATCCAAACTAAAGGAGCAGCCCTGTCACCCTCTATCACAACACCACTTTTTTTTTTTTTTTTTTGCGGTACGCAGGCCTCTCACTGCTGTGGCCTCTCCCGTGGCGGAGCACAGGCTCCGGATGCGCAGGCTCAGCGGCCATGGCTCACGGGCCCAGCCGCTCCGCGGCATGTGGGATCTTCCCAGACCGGGGCACGAACCCGTGTCCCCTGCATCGGCAGGCGGACTCTCAACCACTGCGCCACCGGGGAAGCCCACAACAGCGCTTTTTAATTCTCAGCCTAGTGCTTATCCCTATCTGACGTTTTGCTGGTTTGTTTATTTGTATCTGTCTCCGCTACCCAATGAAAATTGAACTCAACGAGGGAAGGAGCGTTTTCTGCCTTCTTCCCTGCTGTATTCCTAGAACTCAGGATAGTGCCTGGCACACAGTAGGTGCTCAGTAAATATTTGTTAAATGAATAAATAGCCAGAAGGATGGGTGGATAGATGGATGGATCCCTGTTAGATACAGAGAGGGATGTCTCAATAAGGCCTCTTTTTCCTGGCACACGTCAGAGGCTCCAGCAACGGCTTCAAGACTAATTACGAGGCCAGATCTAGCCCTGAAGTTCACTGTAATGCTTCTTTGTCACCAGGGCCTTACGGCGCCCTGGCTGGGACCAAGGGACTTGGGCACCCTGTGGACAGCCCCTGGTCAGGCAGCCTTCTACAGTGGGAGAGCCAAGGCACAGGGCAGCACATCTGGAGCAGGGCTGGCGAAGAGAATTATGGAATCCAGGGTCCCTGGGTTTGGGCCTTGGCTGTGAATTCAGGTAGAATTGAGGTTGCAAGCGCAAGGTCAAAGAAACCACAGCTGATCCCTCCTGCGTCCTCTCAGGGTGGCAGTTAAAGCTGGACACCAGCTGGGGCCAGCGGGAAACAGTCCCATTTGGGGACAGTGGGAAGAAGGGACCGGGAGGATGTTTGGGCTGAGCAGAAAAGAGGGTGTCTTCCCCCCAAACCACCACCTGTCAGGCTTGGAGATTTTAGCTTTGCACAAACTCTTACATCTTACCCGTGGCGTAAGCTCTGTGCTGGGTTCTGGGGACATACAGGGATGAGGGCATGGTTCCGGGCTGGAGGAGCTCCTGGGAGAAGAGCTATGTAATCACGTGAGTGCACTGTAAAGCCAATGTGACAACAGAGGTGGATGAAGTCCTGCAGGGACTCAGGGGAGGGAGGGCGTGTGAGAGAAGGCTTTCCACAGGAGGTGACATTTAAGCCACATCTTCACTTACGAGTGAGAAAATGCCACGACCTAGATGGACCAGGAATAAGGGTATCCCAGCAGAGGGACCCTAGGGGTAGCGAGGTACGAACGAGGTAGGGTCTGTGGAAGGAATTGTGAGGAGTAAGGTTTAAGCTTGGGAGGCAGGCTGTGGACAGGTGGGAGATGAGGCTGTAGGGCTGGGCAGAGCCCAGATCATGCTGGGTCTTGTGATTTGCGCCAGAGAGGGCCACAGGGAGGCATGTGACTAGATGGGCCTTCCTACGGAAGCCAGACGGGGGGAGGGGAGCTAAATGGGGCAGGAAGGTTACGGCCCACACCAGAGGGAACGGTGGTGAGAATGTGGACTAAAGCTGTGGCAGATGGGATGATTTACTGAAGCTTTAGTAATGAAATCAATAGGATTTGAAGACTTGCTGGATGTAGGGAGTGGAAGAGGGAGATATCTACTTCCTTTTCTGGTCTTCTAGCCTGATTTAGGGGGAAAGCAGTGCTGCCCAAATCTAAAAATAGGCAAAGTAGAATGGGGTGTCCATGGGAACATCTGTGAATGGGGTGTCCATGGGAACATCTGTGGCTAGTGCCTGGGAGGGGGTGGCCTGCAGGTATCATTAGATGAGAGCTGTTCTCAGTGAAGGTTGCTAGATCATTGAATTATGCTCTTTTTTTTTTTTTGCGGTACGTGGGCCTCTCACTGCTGTGGCCTCTCCCGTTGCGGAGCACAGGCTCCGGACGCGCAGGCCCAGCGGCCATGGCTCACGGGCCCAGCCGCTCTGCGGCACGTGGGATCCTCCTGGACCGGGATACGAACCCGCGTCCCCTGCATCGGCAGGCGGACCCTCAACCACTGCGCCACCAGGGAAGCCCTGAATTATGCTCTTCATCCTTCCCGCTCCAGAAGGCAGAGTTCCGCCCCCGGCCCCTCACCCCACTGGCTACGTCAGCCTCCCCATCAGCATTTATCAGTCCCAAAGGGGGAGTTCTGAGATCCTAGCTGGCAGAGCCTTCTAGCGCAGGGGAACCCTCTCCTTTCTCCACTCCACCCTAGGAAAAGTCAACGTTGAGAGGAGCTGGGCGGGGCCGCGTGAGCCTCGCTGCCCCTCCCGTGGCCCTGCAAGAAGAGACCGTGGGTCTGAGGCTTCCTCCTTCCTGCCCAGTGCGGTGACTTGTTGATGTTCTCACAAGGAGGAGGCTGGAATGCGGCTGACTTGGCGTTTCCCAACTCTCCCCACCCGCACAGCTGGCAGGGCCCGGACCCCGCTCCAGATGGCACTCCGTTGGCCTGCTTGGCTTGGCCCGTGCCTCCAGGCCAGCCCACCTCACCTTGTTTAAAACTGCTTGGGACAGCGGAATTGGGCCCGAGATCTTGGCCAGCGCCAGTTTCCTTGTGGTAAAAGGGGCTGACTCTCCAGCTGTGCGTTGCAGCCGAGGCCCGGCGGTCTGAGGCTGCAGGAGCGACACCGAGAGGGCTGCGGGGGAAGGGTGGCACCTGCCGCCTCTTAATTTGGGAGAAGACTCGGCGGGGCCCGGCCAGTCCAGGGAGGGACCTGGCTCTAGTGGTTTTCCTCATCGCTGGAGACGGGAGGCAACAGGACGGCCACCAAAACAGCCCAGAGGCGGGGCTGACGCCAGCCTTGCACTGCGTCTCTCCACACCATATCCGAGGAAACCTGGATCCTCTACTCACCCAATAAGCCCTTTTAATGGGAGTGGAATTGTGTCTGTAGGCAGGCCCGTAGCAAGGACCTGGGCATCGCCGTTAAGTGATCTTAAAGAACCGTCACACTCTCTAACATAGGGTCCCCAGCCCTGGCCTGATGAGCAGCTCTGAATTCCAGCGGTTCTGATCCCAGTTCTGTGAGCCTATGTGAGAGAGAGGCCGGGAGTCTGATGCCCGTGTAACCCTAGAACTGGGAGTGCAAGTTGCCAGTGTTTTTAAAGGATCCTGCTAGAAAGCTGTCAGAGCTGGAGGGCTCGGTGGGCTGTGGCTTTGAGGTCAGGGGTGAATTGTGAGGAGTCCAGCTGTGATGGAAAGGACTCCACCAGCACAGACTGCTTGAGAGGTTCCTGGAGACTCAGGGAGGCTCTCTTGCCCCACCCCATCCAGCACGCCCCTGGGAAAACCTTAGCTTCTCCTTAGTTAACAGAGGCTTCTCGTGTCTTCTTTCACACGTGCCCACCACTGGTTTGGCTAAATCAGGACTCCTGATAGATGTCAGGCGTAACTAGTTCTTGCGTGAAGCATGGTAGTTTGGGGACTTGAGGCCGCTGTGAAGCCAAAACCTCATTTTCAGCGTTTTGGGCCAGATGCCTTCAGTAGTTTTCTTTTTTCTCGTATGCTTTGCTGGAAGCATGAAAACTACCCCCAAGCCCCTCCCAGTTACTGTGTTTTGTCTCACCCGATCTTCTTCCAGAAGGTTCAGACTTATTCTTCTGGGATCATGGCTGGAGTCTCCTCCCCTCTAGATGAGGGTTCTTAACTTGAGTCCGTGACCTTGGATGAGGTTTAGGGAGTCCATTAAACCCCTAAAATCTGCAGAGTTCTGGGTGCATGTGCATCTTAGAGAGAGGGGCTATGGCTTTGTTTACGTTTTCTGAGGGTCCATGATCCCACCCCACTGCCCCGCACCCTCGCTAAGAAATTCTTGCCTTAAATGTACTTGGCGCTTGGCCTAGACAAAGCCTTGGCTTCCAAAATAGGACCCTAGCGCTGCCTAGCTACACATGTGGAGCCTGGCTCTGATGTTTGGGGAGGGGGTAGCATGGGATTCTGGAAGTCAAAGGATTTCAGAAGCAGAGTGCCTCACGCCAGCTGGGGACGGGGGCGGGGAGAGGCAGGCCCACAGGGCAGGCTGCCGGTTGGGGAAGTGCTACAGGGAGGCAGAGGCACTGCTTGCAGGGCCCTCGGGGGATGTCTCCTGGGACGTGTCCTCGGCTGCGGGGTATGGGGGACATACGGGGGGTAGCGGGCAGAAAGCATGGGCGCTCTGGGCTGGGGAGCTCCTGCTGGGAGTGAGGACGGCAGGAACACGGTTCTCCAGACAAGGAGGCAGGGAAGGGAGGAAAAACGGAGCAGCCCCCAAATGACAGTCACTCTCTGGCATAAGAGGAAACGCTTAGAGGCTGTAGCGCGGGAGAAGAGCTGCTTCTTGCCGCAGCCTAGCCCAAAGGAAGGTGCGGGGAGCTCCAGCAACAGAGTCGCTGAGAACTGAGCAGGCGGGCGGGAGCCCAGGAACACGTGTTGGAGGCAGCAGGCCTCTCCTGGCTGGGCATCTAGGCGGGATGACCTCATCCCTTCCCGTCTCAGCAAGTGAGGTTTTATTATTCCAGCCTCTAGGTAGACATTACGCTATGCTGAGCCTAAAGGTTAAAGGAGGAGCTGCCTTCGCGGGGGCGTTCTCGTGGCCCCCTCACGGGAGGGGCCGAGGGGGAAGGCCCTCCCCTGGCCGCCTTAGAAAGCCTGGGTGGGAATAGCTGGAGTGTCTCCCCTGGGTCCTTCCCGGCTCTCCTCCCGCAGCTGGGTCCTCCCTCGCGTGTAGGAGAAGGCGAGGGCAGGCAGGGTGCCCTGCGAGGGAGCTGGCCACCCTCCCTGCTGCTCCACGAGCATCCTGATAGAGAATGTTCTGGGGCCCGCCTGGTATACCCTGCAGGCTCGAGAGCGAATGTTGCAGTGAAAGTAGAGGAAGCTTAAAACCACCAAAGAACCATGTACTGGCAGAGACAACAGTCTGAGCCATGCCTGTTTGAAAGCCCTTCCAAGCCTGGTTTCTATGACAGACCTAGCAGATTCCCCAAGGGCCAGAAGCAGACGGTCCCTCACACCTTCCCCAGGTGCTCCCTGCGCCAGACCTGTCAAGATGAGGTCCTGCTGGCAGATCCACTAATTGTGCTCTCTTGGAATTGGTCCAGGGTGCCCAGGGGGACCTGCCCAAGACTGCAATCCACTTAACTAGGAGTGGGCATTCAACAGGGCTGCTTGGCGTTTTTTTGGTAATGAAACATCTTTTTCCCTAAATGGTGAGGCCACTTGGGGGTTGGGGTAGCGGAGGGAGTTTGCTGGCTCATTCATAGCGAAGGTGTCAGGGATGGTCCCCTCCCTCCCGGAAAACTCGGCAAACCCTAGAGAAGAACCCCAAGGCACTGGGAAGTGCCTTGAATATTTTTCTTGCCGGGTACAGCTTCAGAGTGTGCTGGCAGGCACTGAATCCCTGGTGTAGGACCCTGTGTGACAGCGAGCCCCTCTGCCCATGCCTCTCACCCATGGTCGTCACGTAGTCTGTCCCAGTGCCCTGCAGACTAAGTATTTGAATGTGTGGACCTCCCAACCTCAGCCTTAGTCCCCCAACCAAGGGAAAGTTACCCAGGGCTTTAAACAAAAGGGCCTTGACCACATTCACTCCGTGCCAAGCCCCGGCAGCAGGAACCATGGGACTCGTGTGACTCTGTTCTCCTGGCCAGAGACCCCAGTCACCCCCTCTAGAAGAGACGCATCATGAGTAAATGAAATTGATGGGTGGGCCTTGTGTACATTACATGTGTAGGCATTGCTCTTGTCACGTTACGGTCGCCACGCATACGTGGGCTGTGTTAGATGCGGTCACCGCTGTGCATCTCGACACCGGGAAGCTTTCTTGGTTACTGTAGCCCAGTGCTTCTTAGCAGAATCCCCTGGGGGTTGTAGTTAACATGTGGCTTCCTGGGTCCACCCTGGGCCTCCTGTCTTAAAACCTCTATGTGGACAGACTCACGCTTAGTAGGTCTGGACTTGCCAGCTGTAGAACCTCTGTTTGCGTCCATCTCAATTGCCTTCTTTCCTCAATTCTTACCGCACTCGATACCTGATAGGGACGGCCCACGGGAACTTCACACTGACCCGTTGCTGCTCGGTTTCACTTTTTTGGCTCTGTTTCGCGAAGACAGCAGTTTGAAGCCAGGGGCTCTGCCTCCTGCTTTGGAAGCCCTCCCAGGACCTGGACTGGCACTGGGTGGGTGGTGCAGGCTCTGAGCACCCTTTCCCATAGTCACGTCCATTTGGATGCCAAGTTCATGTGTAACGGGCAGCTTGTGTGGCAGCAACACCAGGCTGGGAGAAAGACAGTTTGGATCCCTGTGGTTTCTCAGGTGAATTATATCCAGCCGATATGTCTTGAGCATCCGTCTTGTATGAGAACGTTGCTGGCTGTGGCGGAGGGGGTGGCGGGCTCACCTACTTGGGGACCCCCGAAGAATGAAGTGTCCAGTCTTGCGGCTCAAAGTTGGAAAGCTCATGGGGGCTGGGAGGGCTTGGGCTCAGAGAAGCCGTTTCTGCCCGGCTGCCGGCAGCCCTGGCATCTGAGCACGTGGGAGGGAACTGAGGCTGGGCTGGTGGCTCCTGCAGGATCCTGAGCGGTGTGCTTGGGGATGGGGGTGTCTGCCCGTGGCCCAGGTTCTCAGAGCCAGACCCCAGCCACACCCTGGAGGAGCGAGTGGTGCACTGGTACTTCAGCCAGCTGGACAGCAACAGCAGCGACGACATTAACAAGAGGGAAATGAAGCCCTTCAAGCGCTACGTGAAGAAGAAAGCCAAGCCCAAGAAATGCGCCCGGCGTTTCACTGACTACTGTGACCTGAACAAGGACAAGGTCATCTCACTTGCCGAGCTGAAGGGCTGCCTGGGTGTCAGCAAAGAAGGTGAGTGCTCGCCTATGCTCCTGGCCCACTAGGACTTGCCCCGCCCGGGCCCGGGGGCCGAGGGCTCCCCCAGTAGATGAGGTCCCAGGTGCGTGTTTATTCAGCTACTTACTGGGAGTGTGTTATGCTTCACGCTAGACGCCTGATATAGTGAGGAATGGATGGATAAGTTCCCTGTCCTTCCACAGTCTATGGAGGAGACACATACTGAAGTACTTACATACCTTGTGGTAAGTGCTATGAGGGTGTATTAGGAGAGGCCAGGCTGCAGTGACAAGTACAGCCACACATGTAATGGCTCAGCTCAGCACAGTGAGTATTAGTTCATCTTGTCCGTATAGTAGTTCACCACGATTCCAAGTCCTAGGGGTGTGTGTGTGTGTATGGTGTATGCAGGGGAAGGAATAGGAGTGGGGATTGATTCGTGTGCAGTCACTGAGATTCAGGCTGAGAATGACTCTGCCATCTTTATTATGTGGCATCCAGGGTCACCCTGGGGGTCTTCTCCCTTCCCAGCCAGCCAGATGGCGTAAAGCCTGGAGCAGTGCCTGTGGTGGGGCGTTGACGGGCCAGTCCTGGAAATGACACACATCACCTCTCCTATTTCACTGGCTTGAACTCAGTCACTAGACCACACCCCACAGTAAGGAAGGCTGGGAACCCAAGAAGAGGAGGAGAGCGTGAATTCTGGTGGACACCTAATGATCTCTGTCACAGTGGAGCAAGTGCAGAGTATTGTAGGAACGTACGTAGGGCACCCCCATCCGCCCAGGGGCAGACGGGCTTGGAAAACTTTGGGAAGGAGGTGATGTCTAGACCAGGGGTCAGCCAACTGTGGCCCATGGGCCCAATCTAGTCCACGGCCTGTTTCTGTACAGCCTGTGAGCTGAGTGGTTTTTCTATTTTTAAAGGGATGTAATTTTCAAAAATGAAGAATATACAACCGAGACTATTGTATATTGTACATGACCACCAAAGCTAACATACTTACCAGCTAGTCCTTTACAGATAAGTTTTCTGCCCCTGCTCTACAGCAATCCCTGAGCAATGAGTAAGAGGTGGCCAAGCAGAAAGATCAGGGGAGGGAAGAGTGTTCTGAGCCGAGGCAAATGAAGAGTGAAGCTGCAGAGGTGAGGGAGGAGAGTTCTAGAGGAGCTGAAGGAGGTCAGTGTGACTGAGATGCGTGTTTGAAGATGGAAGGGGAGGGGAAGGGGTAGGAGGCAAGGTGAGAGAGTTTCAGCTCTACAAGGGCAGTGGGGAAGCTGTTGAAGGGATTCAGTCAGAGACACAAGAGCATCAGTTTTGCTTAAAAATTATTCTGTTGCAGTGTGGGAAATGGATTGGGGATAAGCAAGGCAGAGCCCCCAGTAGGAGGCTGTGGCTGTCCAGACAGGAGGTGATGGAGGCCTGAGTTATGAAAAACTCCGTAGGGGATGCAGAGTAGTGGGTAGAGGTGACTAGGTAGACCTGCAGGCCCTGGTGACTGAGTGCATAGAGGGATGAAGGTTGGTTTGGGCAACTGGACAGTGGGTCCATTCACTGAGCTGGGCAACGTGGGAGGAAGAGCCGAGCGGGTGCAGGGGGACAGGGAAGGTGACGAGGATGGCTTGGACGTGTCAAGTTGGATGCACCCAAAGAATTAGAGGGTCTGTAGTACCAGTGAAAGGTCTGGGCTGAAGATACCAATTCGGGTGGTGCTGACTTATTTGAAATGGAAGCTTGGGAAATGCTGAGATTGCCTTGGAGGAAACATGAGGGCTTTTCCTCGTTCTAACCCTCGTTTGACACTGTAAACCCAAAAGGTAGCTGGGGAAGTGGCTGAGTTACCATGAGGTACCCAGTCTCGGGACCTGCCCGCTCCATCACTGGGTTCTGGCCTTTGTTCTGGGGCGTGTGGCCCTGGGTGAGTGACCTCATCACTCTGGGCACCCCTGTCTGATGAGGATGCCTCTCTGTGTTCCCACGACTCTGAGTCCCCAGGACCCTGCCTCGGCCACAGACTCGTTCTTTCACCCAAGTACAAACTACTCAGCCATCCCGGGTTTCAGTGTTTTCATCGGGAAGATGGAAATAATCATAATATCCACCTCATAGGGCTGTTGTGCTGATTCACTGGGACAGTGAGTCAAAGCAGTTGTCATAGTGCCTGAGACATTGAAGGAACTCCGCGGAAGTTCAATATTACTATCCTCCTCCGTAAGATTATTGCCGCTGTCAGAGCCTTATCACACTGCATTTGCAGTTCACGTTCCTGATTCTCCCCTGCAGCTCCCCTGTAGCTGTGGGTGTGCCTTCTCAATTTCTAACCTCAGGCAGAGTGCACAGTGCACGGTGCACGGCGCCCAGTAACAGTGCATTAGATCCTTGTCAAATGATGAAGGGATAGGAGAGGGATTGTCCTGTATGGTGACATTACGCTTTGGCATTTGGAATCTGTGCCCATTTCTCAGAGCACAGCCTGAGGGCCAGTATTGGAAAGAGACTACCCAGTGTTAGTATAGACCCCAGGCCCACCCAGGAGCACTTCTGGGCTCAGTGGGGTTGCAATCACAGAGCTCTGTAGCCCCTCTGCCCTCAGCCCCCTTCCTGTGCTGGTAGTTCAGGTCCGTGCAGCACACAGCGGCCAAGGGGAGGCTGAGTGTGGTGACCTCGGGTCCACCGAGCTCAAGGAGGCCTCCCGGCTGTCCTCTGAAGCTTTGTGGGGCACCAGGTGCACAGAACCCAGAGGAAGCATCCAGGCCTGACACTTACTAGCTCTGTAATCTTTAGCAAGCTACCCAAACTCTCTGAGCCTCAATTTCCTCATCTGCAAAATGGAGATGATAGCATCTGCCTCACAGATTCGGTGTGGTTTAACAAGCTGGTGCCTGTGAAGGACTTAGCTCAGTACGTGGTTAGTGGTGAATGCACAAAAGAAATTAGGAGTAGTAGAGTAACGCACCCCCAGGCTGCCGGCAGCTTCGCAGGGTCCCTCTCCTCTGCGGAGCAGCAGAAAAGCCACTTGGGTAGATGGTATGTAGGGAATGGAGCAGATGTTGGTCATCTGGTGTTGTGCAGCGCCCTCTGGTGGGCTGAAAGGGGCTTGCACACCAAGTTGGGGGCAGAAATCGGGTGTGGGGAGGACAGAGTTTGGGGGTGAATGTAGCTTTGGGTGTGAGGGACTGAATTTTCGGGAAATGCCCCATGAACACAGGCATTTTTACCAACCGGATTCCTCACTGGGGAGCTAAATTCTCAGGGCTGGTCTTTCTTAACTGGCCCTTCCCAGCATATAAAGCACCATCATTAGGATTACTGTCACCACCCTCTGAAGCAGGCAGGCTGGAGCCGAGTTCTTCCATTGAAAAAAGTTGCCAGCTCTCCCGATGAATTGCCCAAGGATGGACCTGCTCCGGGCTCGGACCTTTTCTCTCCCCTGCCTTCCTTGGTAGTTAAGAGCATGATTCTGGAAGCAGACGGGTCTGAGTTTGCTTCACCACGTAAAAGCTACGCCATCTCCAAGCCTCAGTTTCATCCTCATAAAATGGGGATAATTTGATTGTTTTATTAGAACCATATACAGTTGCTCTGAGGATGAAGCGATATTTTGGTGAAGGGATTAGTGCGGTAAGCCTTCAGGGTGAGAGCTGGTTACCGCTGGCTGTATGTTTTCTCTCCTGAGTCTCAGCCTGGTGGGCGGGACTATCTGAGGTCCTCTGTACGTGTAGATCCTGTCAGCCCTGAGAGAAGCAGCTGCTGGCTGGAGCAGATGAAAGATGGGATTCAGGGCCTGGCAACCTGGCTCACCTCCCACCCGCCTGCCTTCGGCTTGTCCCGCTATCTTTCCAAGTTTGTTTTCTCATCCGTGACATTGGATATACCGGTATCTACCCCTCACCCTACCCCACCCTGTGTTCTGTCTTTTTTCTCAGGTCTTAAGGAATGTTAGTGTCAGTTGGGGGTGGTTGAGCTGAGGGTGGGCGTGTATCCCCACAGCACGTTACACTCCTCCAAGCCCTTTCTCCGTGGATTCAGTTGATCCTCCCTGTGAGAGGCACAGCAGAAGCAGCGCAGCTGTGGTCCTAATTCCTGCTCCACAGTCTGACCCAGAGGGGTTAAGGGCTGTGCACAAAATCACACAGCCTCCAGGGCCCACGTGGAGCTGGCCCAGCTCTTGGTGTGCCTGCCTTGCAGCTCCCCGCTCCTCCCTTAGGAGACCTAGGCCCTGCAGAGCCTCCAAAACCGATCAGCACCCCATGGGGTGGAGTGGGTGTTCGCAGAACAAGCCTTGGACCTCTGATAAGCTCCTCAGCTGCTCTGAGCATCAGTTTCTGGATTTGTTAAGTGAAGGGGCTGGACCAGATGATGGCTAAGATTCCTTCCACCTGACCTTCTGCGACTGGGAGAGCCAGGACCCAAGAAGGTTATGCAAATGTCCATCAGCACTAAAGCCCCTCTCCGCTAATGAGGGGGCCCTGGCCTTAGGGAAGAAGGACTGTGTTTAAAGGTGTTGGCTAACAAGGGGTATACCCGGGTAGAACAGGAAGCCTGGCCACACAATCTCTGGCTCTTCCCCAAGTGCCCTCTTCATTCTGGGCACTAGAGGGGCCAGGGGCCCAGGTATAGAAGAAGCCCTACCAGTTCTCTGGGTCAAGGCCACTCAAGCATCCTAAGTTCCTGTTTTGGCATCTTCCCCCAGGGAAAATGATCAGGCAAAAACCCATTCAGTAAGTTGCCTTCTTTCTGGGGTCCTTTCTATGGGCCCCCTGATGCAGCTTCGGTAGTGTAGCGGAGTGTTGGGATTGGCCAAGTTACTTGGACTCCCATGTTCGATTTGTTTGCTGAGGACACAAGAGAAAGATTAGTTAGTGCTACAAGGATCCTACCATTCCCACCTATAAACGAGCACCTACCACTTCCGCCCCAGCCCCAGGTTGAAAGGCTGGCATCTGGGAGTAGGATGGTTTGTACAGAGTGCACGCCCCCCAACTGTGTTTACTGGGCAAAACCTAGTTCTCTGGAATGGCAGCCTCATTTTGTTGCCACTGTGATGCCTCGTGGTGGCAAAGATGGGCTGGTGAAACATGGGCTTGTCTGCAAGTCCAGGTTACCTGTGTCCCACCCAGCCCCGTGTTTAACAGCAGGTAGAAAAGCCTGCTCCGGTGAGGAAATGGACATGTGTAGCTGGATTGCTCGTAAACCCAACCCTAACTTCTCACTTATACCTCCCTTCTCAGTAGGACGCCTCATCTAAGGAGCAGAAAACCAAAGGGCATGTGGAGAGACCAGGGAGGCAGGATGGATCACCAGACACCTGACCTTGGACGCTGCCCACAGCCCAGCCACATCCCATGTAACATGAGTGGTGCCCACCGTGTTTGCACTTTTAATAACTCTTACTTGTGTGTTTTCTTTTTGGTTTCATTTTTAAACACCAATATCTAATACCACGGTGGGAAAAGGAAAGGGAAGAAAGACTGTTTGTTCTCTTTTATTGTTAAGGTTTTGGATCTGCTACTGACAACGTTTAGGGTTCTGAGGGGGTGAGGGTCTTGTTGGGACTGAGAAGAAAGAGATTTATATACTGTATATAAATATATATGTAAATTGTATAGTTCTTTTGTACAGCCATTGGCACTGCTGTCTGTTTATTCCCCTCCCTGTTCCTGCTCTGGGCTGTGAGGGCTCTGGACCCACGGGCCAGCTTTCTGGAACCCAGAACTCCATCCCCAGCCCGCTTGGATTCTGTTTGGAGAACAACCCCTGTGGTTAGAGTGCAGACTCCATTAGTTCTTTTCTAGTGGGAGGAGGGCACCGCCTCTTGCTGTGTCTGTCAGAGCTGGCAAGTCACTTGGCGGTTGACCCTCTCAAGGGAGGCTGGGTGTGGGACAATGTGAGGGGCCCCTGAAGGGAGGGCTCCCGTGCCCATGTGTTCCTGCCATCCGGATCCCCAGGTGGCCCTGACCCCGTGGGTGCACAGTGTCCTGGTGGCCCACTGAGCAAATTGTCCTCCAAGGATTTGCGTTAGGGTCAGTTGAAACATTTCCACCCATGTTTAGCATCTCCTCCACGTAAAGCATGAGAAGGGAGCCAAAGAAGGAAAAGACACACAGAGGGGCCTTTTATTTAGTAGCTGTTTCGTATCTGAGCAGCGGAGGGAAGAGGACAGAAGGCCTGCCCTGGTGAGTGCAGTCCCCACAGGAGGCTTCTCACCTCCTGCAAACCCACGAATGAGGCTTCCCGAGACGGCTCCCAGGGCCAAGGTCAGACTAGGCTTTTACTTCCACTCTCCTCTATCTCCCCTTGCCATCCTCTGGTCATCATAAGCCTGAGGGAAGAGTTGTGTTGGTCACCTTGTTGGAAACTCAGCCTTTTTTTTTCCAAAACTCAGTACTGAGGTTCTTCCTGTTCCCTTAAATGCTCTTAAAGGCTTCCAGGCTTGAGGCCAATTCCAGAGCAGAGCTCATCTCGGGCCTCCCACTTCTGCCCTCGCCTAGAAGTGCAGAGATAATAACCCAGCTATGGGGAAATCCAGGCCTAGCTTTCCACAGACATTTTACTGTGATTCCAGCGTGGAATCCAATGTGCTGGGCAGCCTTCGGGTCAGATGCCAGCTTCTTCTGCCCGGGTGACCATGCCTATCTGACAGTCATCAAAGAGCAACACGTGGCACTTAGCACCCCTTCCATGAGCAGGCGTGGCAGCAGTGAGGGAGGCTGGGTAGTAGCCCAGGACTGGGGCCCCTATGGATTGCTTTTGGAAATCTGGCCACATCTCCTGCATCTCGTACCCCATCCCGGTATCCCATCCTCTGACTGGAGAAGGTTCTTGCTGTCTGGGTGAAAGTCCCAGAGGTTGTGTTAGGGTGACTGGAGGCCCCATCCCAGCACGGTAAGGTGGAAGGGGAGCCCTAGCCCATTAGTTTGGACCAGAAAGCTCAGCGTGCTGGAACCGGATGGACTTTCCAGGAGACCCCAGTCCCCTACTCTGGCCAGGAGGAAGCACCTCCTTGTAGAACATCAGACTCTCCCCTGGGCATCTTCTCTCTCACACATATGTGGAGGCTGTGTTCTGTGGTTTTCCTTTGTGAGGAGGGAGGGAGACTATTTGTAGCTTGTTTTATAAAAAATAAAAATGAGTCAATCTTGGTGGCCGTTGCCTCTTTCTTTGGGTGGCTTCCTCTGATGGAAAGGTTTCATTTCCTTAAAAGGCTAGTTGTTTTCTGTGGCCCAGGTGCCCTCCACTCTGACCTTGGGAAGTCTGAGGTGCTAGATGGGAAAGGAACCCAGAAGTGGCCGATAGGTGGCGCCACACTTTGCGGTTAGGACGTCGATGCCCTGGGCCCTCACCTGCAGTGTTGGTGCCCTCTTTGTAATTCTCCCTCTTGCCCTCACAAGGAAGGTAGGGGATGTTGGTGGTGGTGCTTTTGGGGCAGGGCTGGGGGCAGCCCATTCTGTGGCTTCAGGCTGGTGGGAGTGGGCGTTGTGGCCATCATCCTTATCACAAGACCCCAGGCTGGAAAGCAGCCGTAGACAGGGAGCAGGCCCCCAGTGAGGGTCACACCGTCCGTGCCCCACTTTTGTGGGACACATGTTCAGGTCACATATTCAGGTCGAGGCTGCTGGCCTGCTTGGCATTGCTGGAGGCCTTCAGCGTGGACATCGCAGCAGAGACGAGGCTCTAGATTGTGTCTGCTGTTATGGGGCGTCTTTTCCCTTTGTATCCCACCCCTGCCCACACGCAGCTGTCCCCGGATGTGGCTTCCTCACCAGTCTCTTTTTGTCACCTCTGTTCCCTTGTCCTTTGCAGGTGAACAGAAGATAACGCCCCTGAGAAATTCTCCCCTAGCCTCCTTCAGCTTTTTCCCGGGAAAGGATGTCAGCCTTTGAATGGGGTCATATAGGTCCCCCTTCTCTAGTGCCGACACTGAGCTGCTCTGTCCACGGGCCCTGAAATACTTAATACTCACCCCAGCCCAGTGCTACTGGCGTCATCAATCCCATTTCACAGGTGTGGACGCAGACTTGGGAGCTCGGTGACTTGCTGGGTTACACCCAGCTGGGAAAGGCAGAGCTGGGTGTCACCCTAAGATCTTCCTCTCCAGGCCTAGAGCTCTGCCCACTGCCCAGATGCCTTCCTGGAGGGGCTAGAACAACAGCCTTCTCCCTCCTTAACCCCGGGTGGCTGCATTCAGCTGTGAGTACACTTTTTTCTCTGCATAGTTTAGAGTCTTACTAAAAACCACTAATTTGTAGAGGTCTCTCATGGGCTTCAGGGATTTGGGGAAGAGAAATAAGGGAGGTATTTGCCCATGCAGCACCTCATTGGGAGACTTGGGGTTGACCTAGCCTCTGCAGAGAGATCCAGGCTGATGTGGGAAGGGGGCAGAGCCAGCCTGCAGCCCCGCTCAGCCTTCCTCTGCTTTCTCCAGAGACAGGAGGGCCATTCCCAGCAGCGGTCAAGGAGAAGTGAACGGTAGGTCCATCCTGTTTCTTCCTTCACCAAAAGTCTCCTGAGGCATGCTTGGCCTCTGTGGGGAGGGGAAGACAGGGGACGTTGTCAAGAGATGACTTGGGACTTCCCTGGCGGTCCAGTGGTTAAGACTCTGCAGTTCCAATGCAGGAGGCGCAGGTTTGACCCCTGGTCAGGGAACTAAGATCCCAAATGCCGCACAGCACGACCAGAAAGAAAGAAAAAAAAAAAAAAAGAGAGAGGTGACTGCTGCTGGGGCCAGGCATCTTGCCAGGGCCCCTCAGATGCCATGAGAGGAGGGGCTTCCAGGCTGGTACTCACCCCTGGTTCCCCAGGGGATCTGGGTGGGATGGGAAGCTGACAGCACCAGAGCCCTTGTAGAAAAAACCCAGAGAGAGAGCCAGCCTGCTCATCCGGCCATTTACTCCCAAGTTCCTGAATGACCCACAGGGCCACAGGTGTGCCCACGAAGGAGGCTGAGGAGCTTCCTGGCAACCTGATCTTCTGGTCTGTGGCATTTGACTTTTTTTTTTTTACTTGTACAAGGGGTGACAGGTGAAACTTGACCTTTTTCATGCAGTACCACCAACTCAAGCCCTCATTCCTATGGCCTGGATCACGACTCTCCTTTCTGTGACTTTCCTGAATTAATACAGGGAAGGGTCATGACCTTGGTTACATGCCTGCCAATGAATGCCTGTGCTAGGTGTGTGACACAGGTCTGGCTCATCCCTTATACTCTTCTATGTCACCCCAGCCAACACCTCATCGGTGTAGCCTCATCCCTTCCACTGTCTGCATTGCTTCCCTTCTTCCCTCAGCTGCTCTGTGAAGGTCCTCTTGCCTGGGGTCTTCGTAGCAAAGCTTTGTACTACAGCTAATGGTGCACCATCCTGTATGTGACACACCCAACCAGGGCAACCTTGTTCATCCACACGCTTGGTGGTGGAGGGGCACTGGATACTTGGATGTGGTGTCTTCACTGGATTATGGGCACATTGGTGAGTTACCCATAAGAATCAGGAGACACCAGGATGAGATGCAGTAACACACATCCCCCGCACCCTTAAATCACAAAGCTATTCTTCTCCCTCCTGGAACATATCCATCATACGTCAGCAGGGGGCGCTGCTCTTCATCAGGGACCCAGGTTGAGGGCGGCTCCATTCTCCATGCTCTCGGAGGCAAAAAAAAAAAAAAAAAAAAAAAAAAAAAAAAGCAGGAGGGGGCGGGGGAACATGCTAAATTGTACCCTTGTTCTTAAAGCTTCCATCTGGAAGTGACGTCACTTTGTTCACATCTCAATGACTACAGCAAGTCGCATGGTCCCATCTAGCTCAAAGGCAGTTGGTGAGCGGCCAGAAGGAGAATTAGAAATATTTGGTGAACAGCTCTGGTGACTATCACAATGTAGATTATCTTTGTGTTTTCCATATTGATGAAAAAAGCTGCAATTTTTACGTTGTCCAAGAATAAAAAGACTTGCTTTTCACAGTTTACATGGTGCATTTTACGTCTATTATTTCTGACAGATCTATCCCATTTACGGTAATTACCGTTCTCCCCGTCGTTGGTAAAGCAGAGGGTGAATGCACCTTCCCTCCTGTGAGCTCCCCCCACCCCACCTGGGAGCTAAGTCTCAGGTAACTGAGGCCCTGGAGTAACTAGCCATGCCCCCAGTGCTTGAGAACTTGGTGGGGCGTCAAGTAACGCCGGGTGAAAGCAGTTGGGGAATAGCAGTACTCTGGGGTACAGATGTGAAACTTTCCCTCTGCAGTCACAGCTTTCACTGTGCTCCTCTGCATAGCCTCCTTCCTCCGTGTAGGGGATCCCTTAGGACAACTTGGGCAGTTCCCATAACTTCCTGGTTACTTCAGGTATTTACAAGCTCAGTTCCAGCCAATGACAAAGCTTCAATCTCCAGCTTCATTTAGATACTCCTCCCCTCCTTGCCCTGGCACAGTCGTTAACTGGCTTGGAGGAGAGAGCAGTGGGGCTTCGGTCAGGCTCTGAGACAATGCGTCCTCCACTTTATCCTGATGCAGCTCTCCTGAGGTGATGGGGTAGGGAAGAGGGAAAGGAACACCGTGGCGGCCTCCTAACAGACAACAGTTGTGGTCCTCTCCATTCATTGTAGCAGCTTCTCAGGTTAGCGCTACTTGCCCTCTCTGTAGCAGATGCTCAAATACTGGTCCTCGTATGGAGCCCACGCCGGGTCTGGGTAGGGCCCCCCACTGCACAGGGCCTTTATGTGGGAAGTCCAGCTCTGGCTTGACCTTTTCCACACTTCCCTACAGCAATATACCCCGTGTCCACTTTGCTCCGAGGACCCTGCCTTGGGTTTTGTACCTGAATTATGGCTCGCACCTGGCTCCCTGCTGGGGTGTCCATTCACCCGTGGGAGACTTACACATCCTTCCTGTACCAGTTGATGGGGTGCAGGTCGACCCTCAATGGCTCCTCTCGGCTCTGCATCTCTCCCTCTTCTCCCCTCCCTGCTTCACTAGGTAGAGGGGACTGATCAGCAAATCGGCTGCGTCACAGATGCCCAGTTGGGAAAGGAGATGTCAGGCCAGCAGCCAGCTTAAATCCCCACGGACAATTCTCTCAGAGCCTCCCTGATTTTTTAGCTTCAAGGAGGGGAGGAAGCCACCCAGAGTTTCTTGTCTATCTCCTTCTGCTCTCTCCCCCCAACCTTCTTTTATAGAATGGGATGGGGAAGGGTGGTTAGTTACAAAGCTATTTCAAGTATCATGCCCTCTTTGGGGAGGGTATCAGGCCCTAGCTGTTGTTCTTTATGATATGGGATACTTTGCATCTCTTTTTTCTTCATTTTGGGTCCTTATCACCAATTCCGGGAAAGTAGAAAATGTTCTCCCCTCAAAGTCCTATTATGGTGGGTTTAGTGATAGATTCAAGGGAAGATGATCCCAGAGAGAATCTCCCAGTAGCTCCAACTCCAGGCCCAGGGACCTTCCGGCTCCCACCATCTCAGAGCCCTAATGGGCCTGCCGTCCTAGACAACTTTGCCCTCGGGGCGTCGACCCCAGGACCAGGTAAGACTCCAGGTGACCCACTCACCTCCACTCCTCCCACAGACCTCTGTGCTGTATAAATACATCTCCTAAATTCCCATGAGCGGCCCATTTCTGTTATTCTTTAACCCCCTGTGATACTGGCCCAGAGGAAGGAGTTGGAGCTTTTTAAGGGGAGTACTTTTAGACATGTGCTATGTAGCTGCAAACAGAAACCCCAGGTTTTTCAGTCCCCCATCCTTTCCACCGCCCAGTGTTTAGCAACTCTCTTCTCTAAGCATCCCTCCTCCCCATTAAAGACGCGAACTCTGATTTCTGAGGGGTCACCCTTGAGACCCAGGTCGAGCCATGCGGGGCAGAGCTGACTCCAGAGTATTTAATTTGACCCCATTGAACCTAGGTCCCTTTAAAATCCTTGACCGGGTGTGGAATGGCCTGGTGGAGACCAGGACCCAGCAGAGCTCAGTGACCAGAGGAGGTCCTGACTTGAGGCAGGAGGTTTGGGAAAGCTTTGCAGCATTCTCCTTGGGGAGGGTAGTGGGGAGTCAGCGGGAGATGGTAGGGAGGACCCCTGGGAGGCAGCAGGAGCCCAGCTGAGGTGAGATGTCAGGGTCTGTGTAGACCCTAGTGCACCTGGTGTT